GAGTTAGCCCTTCCTTGAATATAAACGTTATTTTACATACACGTATTTGCAATGCAAGCAAGGGCACTAATCGGTCTTAACACACAGACCAGCTGCTTCTTTATTAGACAAGCAGATACGTAAAATAATGTGTATCGACTTTTCAATTCCTTACCCTCTATTATCAGTTGGAAAGTCTAAGGATTAGGACCGAGAGTGCTAACAAAGCGCAAAACATGTTGAAATAATTTCAATTTAATCCAATAAGCATTCACACCCACCTGCTCTTCAGTCTTTTCCCAATAACAAACATGGCCGCAGCACCTATATATTTGGCAAACAGCCCTTCAATAGTGCCAAAATTTCCCTCACGCACAATGTAATCAAAAGAAGAGAGTGCCTCTCGCGGTGTGCGGTACACATTTGGAGAGATCAGATGTACAAGCCAGTCATCTGTCCACCGGCGCCATTTCATTTCTTCACTGTGGGAGAGAAGTGAGAAATACCCTTATTTAGGTTCATCTCTCCTTTTGATAATCTGATGGGGGAAAATATAAAATATACAAAAGGTTATTGAAACAAATATAAAAGTGTTACATCTGCAACGAACTGAGAAATTATCAAAGCAGCCGCATGATTAAATAATTATATCTCAATGTGTGTATAAAAAGGTAAGGTTCTACGGCCCCATCTGCTCAACATTGAAAGAAAAAATAAATAGAGATTTGAAGTTTGATAGATTTCTTCTGCTTCTTTATTTAAATGGATGCTATAGCCATCAAAACAACTTTAGCTTTTATGCCCCTGCAAACTCACTGCTCAATTCACTGCCATTTAGGAGTTTTATGAAAATGAATAAACATGCAAAACAAGAAAACATATGCAATTAGCTCCAAACCAAGATCTTTTTTTAAACTTGTATTTCTCTAGAAAGCCTGCATTTCTTAGCAGACAGAGCTGCCCTTGGATTATACCCATTGGTATATTTTCTGGTCAATCTCAGCTGCATTATCACTGCGGACAAACATAAAGTAGTCAATGAGAGTACAGATGGGTTTATCAATATGGTCTTTGGCCGCAGCTCTCATAAAATTTTTCTTAAATTGGCACTGTCATCATCGGAGGACTTTGCTGAATTCGCAAAGTCCCCCGACGCTGACACTCCGATGGAAGGTAATGGTGAGAATACTTAGCGGAATCTGTCCCTCATGGGCGCTGCCATCTTGGTAGCTCTGCTCCTCATCAGGAGCGCCAGGAACCAATGTCACTACTGAACTCATACACAATTAGCAAAAGCTAAAAAATATGCGAGCCTGGGAGCCACAGAACAAACAAACAGTCTTCTCCATACATGAGAGATAACCGGAGAGAACCTAAACTTCAACCTCAGCGGATGACGGGGGATGCTTTGGAGCTGCAGTCATTACATCTTGCACCAGATCCAGTCTGTGATGTCTTTTGCCTGAGCACCTACGGTCCTAGATCTGTGTTTCACTTGGCGGGACTGTTACCTGGGAATTGGTTGGCTTGAAATATGCCCCCAGCACTGTTTTACAGGCCACTGGTCTATCTACATTATTTTTAATTTTCTTTATAAATGTTGGTGCATAACAGTTTAGATGAGGATCTGTGAGGTTTTCAAGTTTATTTTGTCCATTATCAATCTTATGCGCCACTGCTGTAATGCTCTTAGTCTCAAATATTGCAGGACTTTTTCCCTCCAAACATGCAACACGGTAAAATCTAGAGAATAAATAATATTTATGGCTGTGTGATACTTACACCTGAGATTCTTTGGAAGCATAAACCCGCCCAGTTTCTCTCTCATCCAGCATCAGCCAATATTTATTGTTATATTGAATCACCTCCTTGCCCCTGTCATCTGTCGCTTTCATTGATGGATAATATGATACAAGTTCCTCCAGACTTTTCATCCTTTTAAAAAGAACAAAATTTTTAGCAGAAATCAAACGCCTTTTTTCAACAGTTTTGAGGTGAAGATAGAACACAGAAAAATGACTCCGGATATGATATTGCTAATTTTTGTGATTTTAAAAGAGTGCCTGTTGCTTAAAGAAACTCTCTTGACTCCTGAAGCACCTAAGCTTGCCGACATGCTTTCTCTGTAAAGAGTGACATTGGCATTTTTATAAATGAACTTTTTTACACATCCTAGGCTGTCACTCAGACAATCGTCCCTGTTACTTCCTGGTTCAGCTAAACAGAAAGTGCCCAGAGCAACGGCCTTGGAAATACTTCTCATTGAGCTGCATTTGGAAATCTATGTTTGGACAGTAACAGAGGGTCTGGGCTGGGAAAGAAGGGGAAACAAGATATCTACAGCTTTTGCAAGCTGGTCTTTAGATAATGAGAAATGTATAATTAAATGCATGTGAGTTTTCATTTGGGGTATATCTACTAAACCATGATGTTTATTTTGTTGTATTTAGGCAGTGTTCCTTTAATGTCACATCAGCACAAGGAAACACGCAGTTTGAATTCACTAAACGGAGTTGAATCCCCTTGACTTCAATGTGAGCTAAACTTAGAACAATGGCTTTCAAACCGCATGCTGTGTTCAATGGATGAAAACCACTGTAATGGTATAGGCACTAGGAGGCTGTGAGAGCTATTCTCCAGTTCTAGGTCGAAACTGTTGGATGTCCCATGGCAAACCACGGTCTGGACCCTACTCACTGTTATCAATGTGGAGGTTATGATGCTTAAACTGCCCCTTTGAATATACATTTAAGGGATTATATAATCAACCTTAGAGTTTCTAATGTTCTTCTATTTAGATTCCACTCTTAGAGAGCTTGATCTAATATGACACTTCAAACCTTCGTTCCTCACACTATTCATTAGAAGACTTTCTTACTTGGAGACGAGGAATGTTTTCATCACACTAATGATAACAGAGGAGTCATTGAGTTGCTGCAAAAGAAGACAAAGAACATAAATAGAGGACAACCCTCAATGTGACAATAAGTAAAAAACAAACAAACATACAAACCAAAAATACAAGTTGTTCCAACTTGTCAAAACCCTTTAATATACAGTGGTTAAAGGAACACTATAGTGTCAGGAATAAAAACATGTATTCCTGACACAAAAGTGATGGTATGCAGAGCGTGGAGATGCTGAACGGCAGTGCAGCACCAACAATGAAGCACCTCTAGTGGTCGCCTGAGTGACTGCATCTAGAGATGTTACCAGATTGCAATGTAAACACTACCTTTTTTTATGAAAAGGCAGCGTTTAAATTAACCCCTTAAGGGCACACGACATGTGTGACATGTCATGATTCCTTTTTATTCCAGAAGTTTGGTATTGAAGGGGTTAAAAAGCCTGCAGGGGAAGGCTATAGACACCAAAACAACAACATTAAGCTGTAGTGATTCTGGCGAGTATAGTGTCCCTTTAATTTCTGTGCTCCAAACCTATTGTGTTCTTACTGCTTGATAACAGAGCTCACACAGGCCTTACCATGGGAAGACTGATGGTAAAAGACAACAATGCATACCAAAGGAGGGTTCAAGATACCACATTGTCTTTGAGAGAGTTCCAGTCCTGTTCTATGACATTACAGCTTTGAGTGCCTAGTGCGCCCAGCACCAAGCAAAGCAACATGTAGGACACACATCTGGTATTCAAAGGGTTAAGCAACAAAAGCAATGAAAACAAACATATGGGATAATGGTTAGAAAAAACTCACTATGGGAGATCCAGCATTCACTATGAGAATCGGAACTTTTCTGTAACTGGAGAACTTGATCTCTCGTCTCAGAACAGGATTAACCTCCACAATCTCATGCGGAACTTGGTAATAATCGAGGAAAGCCCGTACTTTGCTGCAGAAGGGGCATGTCTTATATTGGTATAGTGTGAGCTGAAGGTTTCCATCTGTTACCTGAAAACACAAAATGTGTGCATCAAACTACTGAGGTTCACCAACTAGGTAAAAAATAATGACTCCATAAGGGCAAATTACATCCCGACCACCACCAACACTCCTAACAAATTGGTCCTTGAAGACCTCCTTGCTACCATGGAATGTCCTGTTTACTTAGCATTCGAGCAACGTTTACTAAATAAATAGTATACTGCTTTAGAAGTGTGTTTGTCAAAGACCAGCTTGTAATAAGGAAGAAGAAGAAAAAAAACAATGATCACATTCCTAGTATTTTCTATTTAATTATGTATACTCTCATTATTTTTAATTCACATTCTATATAGTTTTCATATCAAAAGGTAATACAGATGTGCTGTAATGTTGTGTGGGTCAGTGAATGTGTGTCTATTCGGGTCTGTGTATATAGGTCAGTGTCTGTACTACAAGTGTGTACATATAGGGGAATTTCTAAACTATACTGTTAGTGTTTATGTATTCATATTGGTTTGTGTATGGGTCAGTGAGTGTGTGTATATAGATCAATGTCTGTACCGTGTGTGTATTTGTCAGTATCTGTACTGTAAATGCATGTGTACAGGCCAGGGTGTGTGTGTCTGTGTCAGTGAGTGTGTATATGAGCGAGTGTATGAGTGTTGGAGTTTCAGAAGTGAGTAGGCTTTGAGTGCCATAGAAACAAAAGTTTTCAAAGACAGGGGACTGGTGAGCAATAATAAAAAACTTGCCGCATGGCACCTTTTGACTGTGCTACACCACTTAATCGAGTCAACGTAAAAGTTGTTTTGGTGCTTAGAGAGTGTCTCTTTAAATATATATGGGATATAAAAGTAACATCACAGAAGTTACCCCAAAAGTATTTTAAAAAAATAAATAAAACACAGGTTTTACATTTCCTTTAACACTTAACTATACATTTAAACAGATACTTAAAACAACGTTTCTAAGGAACTTCCTTTGTTGTGGATTACACGATTCTAGAATTCCCAAATTCAAGAAGAGGTCTGAACGTCATAGGTAAAGAAATAATATAGAAAAATGTGTATACTACTGGTAAAGACCATGAGACTATGGCATGCAAAGTGTCCCAGAAAAAACCCAAAAACAATTGTGCCCATACCTGCAGGTCTTCTTCAGCCCTCTCCTCCCCCAGGGAATACTTCAAAGTCTGAAACACTCCCAGTGCACCCCCTAAAACAACCATTATACCCCAACTCCTCCTGCCACTGACTCCTGACTCTTGCCACCACCCTGTCCTGTAGCCACGCCGCCATGTTTTGGGTGAATAGGGCGCTATGGGTGCCCTACCTTCTGATCTCTGTAGATAAAGGGCACTCCTTGGTATCTCTCTACCAGGGACATTTATGTAACCTCTGACTAACACACCAGGGGTGGAGACAGGTCTACTGACAACTACCCCTGAGTGGGAAAAACAGCCCCTAGCCATCAACAGCCCTGCCATGCCCCCTCTCAGCCCTGGCAGATGATGCCCTAGGCGCCATGTGGCAGAACACATTCCATGTGCCATGGAAGCTGCCATCTTCTCATAAACAAGCCACGCCCCCAGCCCCATAAAGAGTAAGGAGAGGCGTGGCTCCTCCCTCGGCTCTGATTGGATATCCGTGTCGACGTCACTCTTCCAGGTTTTAGCCTAGACTAGAGTGATCACATGACTCTCACAGTCACATGACAAGAAAGAAGCACAAGATGTCTGGTCCTAATGGAGATTCTCTTGTCCCAGCAGGAGAGGTGTCAGGGGAAGAAGGTACAATTTTTTTAAAATAATTATTATATGTTTTTATTACTTAATGTGCTTGTTTAGCGGTAGCAGAGTGCTGTTAGAGAATTGTCCCTTTAAAGATCCACCCTTGCATGGCATATATAGAGATATAAGGAGCTGGGGGTCACAGTGTCACTCTTTGATGGAGTCCTGGCATTTAGTATGTACATAGGGGTGAATAGCAATAAATGTGCTTTTTGTGATTCATTAGTTAAAGCCATGGACATAGTGCTCCCTCCCCAGCAGATAGTGAAATGTGGTACTGCTTTTTCTATAAATAAATTGTAAAATAATACATTTTTTTTTTAGTTTTGATTTTGCATGTTTAGTTTACAAATATAATGTAAAACTTTGTAATATTTTAGGTAAAATACAAGGTTATCTGACAGACTGTAAATTTCTTTACCACAAAATTAACCAAGGTGGATTATGGGGGTTTTCAGTTTATTATACATAAGCACTTTGGCCACAGATATAATCATTTTAATGTGATTCTTTATAATAGAAAAACGAAACCTTTCAAAGGCGCACACATAGAATTCTAAGTTCCATTATCTACATTCTCTAAAATCTCTTTCCCCATCCCCCACCTAGTGTTTATAGTATGTCTAAAATGCTGTTTTCGTGTAAACACTGCTACTTTATGCAAGATAAGCCTAGCTGTTCCTGGATCTGAGATAAAGAAGGTTCTCATCTGATAATGACAAACTGGAATATTCTTTGAGAATTTCTTTTTTCACCTTCACATTATCTACAATGGAATTTAGGCCATAAAATTAAACTACTCCAGGGATGTTTCCTTTGCCAACCAGTTATATTTGGTCTAAGTCTCATTAAAGCAGCACGATCATGCCATGCTTACCTTTTCCCAGTCGCTTCCTCTTTCCTCCTTTTTTTTTTTTTTTTTTAAATTTTAATTTTTATAGCATCTCTTTCTAACTAAAAACAAAAGACAAACTAGGGACTACTTTGTCATATTTATTTTTCAAATGCCTGTCTTTCTTAAACACTGGGTGGAGCTACCGCCATCTACAAATGTCAATCCCTGCCCAGCTGCCAGGAATTTGTGATGTTTATGGAGAATCCCAGGGATCCTCCATACACTTCAATGTTGTACTCTTGCACATGTGTCAGAGTACAGCAGCGCCAGGCACTCAAGAAGACCGCCGGGAGAAGATGGAGGTCCCAAAGGGAACAGGTTTAGTTAAGTAAAACTCACCTTTTCCTGAGCAATAAGTTGTTTTGTAATCAAGGCTATAATCTCTGGCTGGTTATGTAACTCTCAGCGTACAGGTTGGCTGGGATTTCCTGGTTGCTTGCAGGCACTGGTGGATCTGTAGGGGGGGGGCACAGGGCTGCCTAACTCGCCTTATGGCAGACTGATGTGTTGGGTCTTGGGTCTCTGACCGAGTTCCCAGTGACTGTTGGCTGCGGGGTCCCTCCACTCAGTTTGCCCATAGGAGGAGACAGCCTGCTCCTCCGGTCTGCAGCTGTGCCAGGTGCAGAGCTGCAGACTGTGTCTCACAATCTCAGCCAGATCAGAGCTTTGCCGCAGGCTACCACGTCTACACTATGACACTCGTGAGGCGCCAGGGAATTGATTTCAAATATATTTCAATGTGGGGAGGCTGGATACTAAAACACAGAATATATATATATATATATATATATATATATATATATATATATAGTAATGGCACTCACCTTTTCAATCAATATATTAGCCAACTGTATGCCCTGGTGCAATTCCACGTGTATGTAGTGAATAGAAAAAAGGAATGCACTCTTCGGTCTTTATGTAAAAAAAAAAAAAAAAGTAAAGCGGTATTTAATGTATACATCCGATCGACGTTTCGACCACGTTTTTCTGCGGGTCGTGTCACATGATGCTACAGGTACACTTCCGGGTTCGGATTGATGGGATGAGGGAGTCCAACACAATTGGTGAGTACATTTTACTATTTCTAATATATATCTTGACAATAGGTTTACAGATCGATCTTGAGGAAGACCTGAACGGGTCGAAACATCGATCGGATGTATGTAAATCTTTTGATACATTACATACCGCTTTAGTTTTTCATAAAGACTGAAGAGTGCATCTCCTTTTCTATTATATATATATATATATATATATATATATATATATATATATATATATATATATATATAATGGAAAATGTATTCATACTTACCGTAGTTTTCTTTTCCTGGTCATATGCCATGGCAGCACAACATTGGGTAGCTCCTCCCTATCCCCATTGGACAGGAATAATTATTAAGCTGTATAAGTACCACCTCCTACCCCTCCTTCCCCAGTCATGTTTTCCAGCAATAGCCCCGGGTGGGACCCTTGTGCTGCCATGGCATATGACCAGGAAAAGAAAATTACGGTAAGTATGAATAAATTTTCCATTTTCCTGGCCATATCCATGGCAGCACAACATTGGGTAATACCCAAGCAATAAACCAGGGAGGGAAAGAGACACAGACTCCAAAAATTTGAATGCAAAGTGTATTAACACCACCACAAGTGAAAAAATAGAAATCAGGCATCGGATACAGACAGAACTGATTTAGCAAATTGATCAGATATACCTGCTCTAACATCAATTTGGTAGCTCTTAATGAAAGTGTTAGAGGAAGACCATGTAGCTGCTTTACAAATGAGTTCAGGAGAAACATTAGCAGCGGCTGCCCAGGAAGATGAGAGAGCCCTCGTGGAATGGGCTTTAAGACCCACAGGGACCGGATATCCAGCCGATTGATAAGCCAGAATAATAGCTGCTACTATCCACCTGCTAATGGTAGATTTGGGAGCTTGTGAGCCCTTTTTACAGCCGCAATGAAGGACGAAAAGACTGTGAGAAGTACGCCAAGCAGAAGTCCTATCAATATATATCTGGAGACATCTTACTAGATCCAGAGAAGATAGGTTAGTAGAATTCTCCATTTCTTGGGAGTCAGACCTCAGAGATGGAAGAACAATATCCTCGTTGATGTGAAAGGAGGAGGTGACTTTAGGTCGAAATTCGGGAACCGTACGGAGGACAACTCTGTCTTTGTGAAAGACCGTAAAAGGCTCCTTAATGGATAGAGCATGGAGCTCAGAAACCCTCCTGCCGGAAGCTAGGGCAATCAGCAGAGCAGTCTTAATAGAGAGAGCATGAAGAGGAACTGTGTCAAACGGTTCAAAAGGTTCCAACTTTAGGGCATTCAAGACCAAAGGGAGATTCCAAGATGGAACAAATGGTTTAATAGGAGGTTTTATCTGAAGGACTCCTTTGATGAACCTGATGACATCCGCGTCCAGTGCCCATCGATGATTGGTTAGAGCGGACAAAGCTGAGACGTGCACCTTGAGAGTGTTATAGCTCAGCCCTTTAGCAAGCCCAGACTGCAGGAACTCCAAAATATTAGAGGAGGAAGGATCTTGAATATTAATGTTCCTGTGAAGGGCCCAGTCAGAGAAAACTTCCCACACTCTATAATAAGTGGCCGAAGTGGAATGCTTACGTGCCTTCAGCATAGTGCCTATAACGTCCTGGGAGAATCCTTTACTCAAAAGCCGGTTCCTTTCAGTCTCCAAGCCATGAGATTGAGAGAGACCGGATTTGGATGAAACACAGGACCTTGGAACAGAAGATCCGGAGTTCTGGGGAGTGGGAGAGGAGGTTCCACCAAAAGACTTTGAAGCAGAGGAAACCAGGGTCTTCGAGGCCAATAAGGCGCAATCAGGATGAGAGACACCTGCTCTGTTCTCATCTTCCTCAGGAGCGGGAGAATTAGTGGAAATGGGGGAAAGGCATAGCCCATCCTGAACCTCCAGGGGCTTGATAAAGCATCCCTCCCCAGTGCTAGGTGGTCGTCTTCTTTCGTGAAGAAAAGCTTTACTTTTCTGTTGGCCCGAGTGGCTAGAAGGTCTACTTGAGGGAGACCCCATTCGTCCACAATCAAGCAGAATACACTGTCTGAGAGGCACCATTCCCCCGGATCTATCCTGGATCTGCTGAGAAAATCCGCCAGCTGATTCCGTTTCCCTGGTAGATGGATGGCAGTAAGGCCCGCCAGGTTTCTCTGAGCCCACCACATCAGGTGATTCATGATTTCCATCATCTTGCAGCTCCTGGTACCCCCTTGGTGATTGACATAGGATACCACCGTGGAGTTGTCCGTCCTTATCTTCACCCATTGCCCCTTGAGATGATTCGAGAAGTGTTTCAATGCTTTGAGGACAGCCAGAAGCTCTAGGCAATTGGAATGAACATTGTTTGCCCTGAAACTCCATTCTTCCTGCGCAAAGTCGTGGAGACAATGAGCGCCCCATCCCCATTGGCTGGCATCCGTTGTCACAGTTATCCACGCGATATCTCCTAGTGGAAAACCCTTTGATAGGTGCTCCCTGTTTAACCACCAGATTAGAGAATGGCGTACATTCAGGGAAAGTTTGATGGGTTGGTGCAGGTTCCCGGAGGAGAACTGTCTCAGGAAATTGGCTTGGAATGGTCTCATTCTCCACTGTGCCCATCTGGTCAGTCCTATTGTGGAAGACATGGAACCAAGGAGGCTCATTATGGCCTTTGCCGGGGCCACCCTGGATATCAGCATTCTTCTCAATAACATCTTGAGTTTCCGTATTCTTGCTGATGAAAGTTGAACAGTGCCCTTTAGAGTGTCGAAGTGAGCACCTAAGTAAACCATAGATTGCGTTGGGTGGAGGTGGCTCTTCTTGGTGTTGATCTTCCAGCCGTGAGCTTGCAGAAACTGAATGCTGGTAATAGCATGGGATGTCAGAGAATCTACGTTGTTTCCTAAGATCAAGATGTCGTCCAAATAATGGTAAATCGCAATGTTCTGTTTTCTGAGCTCTGCAATGAGAACAATCAGGACCTTTGTAAATGTCCTCGGAGCTGTGCTCAGTCCAAAGGGGAGGGCCCTGAACTGGAAGTGACCTTCTTCCACAGCAAACCTCAGAAACTTTTGATGAGTTTGGGCGATGGGTATGTGAAAATACGCATCTAACAGATCTATGGACAGCATCCATTGGTTGGGTGACACTACTTTTATTATAGATTGTAGGGATTCCATTTTGAACCTGCGAATGTGCAGATGCTTGTTTAGCCTGTGTAGATCCAGAATGGGTCTCCATCCCCCTGAGGATTTCTTCGTTAAGAAGATGTGGGAGTAGAACCCTTGAGTTCTCTCGCCGGCTGGCACTTTGGTGATAACTTTCTCCTTCTGCAAGGAAAGGATGAAGTCTTGTAAGGCCATGCACTTTTCCTTGTCCCCTGGCCACTTTGTGAGGTGAAAGGACCTGCTTGGAGGATGCTCGAGAAATTCTATCAAGTAACCTCTCCGAATAATATCCAGTACCCAACCGTCGCTTGTGGATACTCCCCATATCGGTAGATATTGGAGAAGACAAGCCCCGACACCTTCGGATTTGGGAATTATATAGTCATAAATTCCTCTGGTTTTTATAGGAAGATGAACCGCGTGACTTGCCTCCTCTGTTTCCAGCTGGGGCTCCTCTCCCAGGTTGAAATCTGGAATATTCTCTGCCCGGTTTGTAGGACCTACTGTCACGAAAGGAATGGTACTCTTTCCGGGCACGAAAGGATCCTTTATACTTTCTCTCCTGAGGTAGAAAGGCTTTATTCCCTTCAGCCGCCCTCTTAATGCATTCGTCCAAATTCTTGCCAAATAACATACTCCCGTGAAATGGCAAAGAACACAAACTATTCTTGGAGGAAGCATCGGCTGCCCAAGATCTGAGCCAAAGTGCTCGCCTAGAGGAAATCGAGAAGGACATATTTCTAGCAAGACTCCTTACCAGATCCACTGCAGCTTCTGATGAAAAATCAATTGCTAGACGCATATCTCTTAGGTCCTCCAAAATGGAAGAACGGCTTCTGCCACTCCTTATGTCCCCTTCCAGCTCCTGTATCCAAACCTTCATAGCTCTCGTAACTGACGTGAGAGCAACGGCCGGGTGGAGACTTGTGCCTGAGGCTACATAGGATTTGGAAAGGTAGTATTCCATCTTACGATCCATAGAATCCCTGAAGGAACCTGCATCGTCTACAGGAAGGGTAGTGTGCTTGGCTAGTCTGACCACTGCAGCATCAACTTTAGGTGGAAAATCCCATGTTTCAGCATCTTTGGAATGAAACGGATATAATCTTGAGAACTTCCCTTTTGCAGATGATCTCCGGTCAGACCTGGACCATTCTTCTTTAATAAGGTCACTAATTGTGGTATGCACAGGGAAAGCCGCTCTCTTTCTTCTAAGATCAGAGAAATAGCGGTTAGATGTAGACGGTTCCTCCTCTGAGGGTTCCTTCAAGGTAAGGGTTTCTCTGACCCGGGCAATTAAATGATCCACCTCCGCAGGTACCAGGAAGTCAGGATCAGGGATAGCCTCCTCCTCCGAGGAAAAAGCTAGGTCTCTCAGAGAAGCTGAATCCATTAACTCTTCTTCAGAGTTTCCTGGAGATAAATCTGAGGGCTCAGAATATCTAGGCCGCTTGTGGGTCTTACCAACCTCTCTTATACCCTGGGCAACTGCATGCTTAATAAGTTGCATAAAGTCCGGTGTTGAATGAGAAGGGCCAGCTGCTGCTGAGAGACAATCTGAACAGAGACGTTTTCCTTCTATGGCTCTGTTATCACAGGATATACACAGCGTCCTTTTGGGCGACTTCCCCTTGGACGATCCTGAAGTCTTTGTACTTTTAGCACTGAAATACAACAAACGTGCTCATTAGTACATTACCTCTCTTTTTTTTTTTTTTTTTAAAAGGATGGCTTACCTATATTGCTTAGATTGTGACCTATTGTGATGAGAAGAATCCGATTCCCTGGATCCTGAGCGAGAATCCATCTATAAAGAATAGATGGAACAGCGAAACTAATACCAAGAAGAAATATATATAAAAAAAATAAAAATAAGAGGGGAGAAAAACTTACTTCGATGCTTGAGAAGGAAAAAGGAACCTGGAAAGGCGAAGAACCAACAGAATGGTGCAGAAAAAACTTTCCTGGAGGAAGAAGCTCAACCTACCCTGAAAAAGAGGTCTGGCGCTTTAAGAAGGGTATCTGATGTCATCGCGCATGCGCAAATGAGCGAAAAAACGCGCGAACGGCCCAAATGGATAGATTTAGCGCGCGAACGTGCTAATTCGTTAATCGCGTTCGCGTGCTTATTCAAACGAAGCCGCGCGAACGCTTAGAAACAACCGAACGTCGCGCATGCGTCCAGGAGCCCACGAATGCCGTGCAGGCGCCCATGAGACTCCCGAACGCCGCGCAGGCGCACAGGAACTCCCGAACGCCGCGCAGGCGCACAGGAACTCCCGAACGCCGCGCAGGCGCACAGGAATTCCCGAACGCCGTGCAGGCACAGGGGAACCCCAGCACATAGAGATTACAGTTTTCTTAGAGAAGGAGACTGATTACCTACTGTATCTTCAGAAGAATAATCTTACAGGTAAGAACCAAATCATGGAGCCATTACCTTGATTCTGGGGGGAGATTCCAAGTCCGGAAACCAGTCATAATTCCATGTTATTCCACTTGTTACATAATTGGAAGAATCATAGGAAGGTAAAACCCCCGGTCACTAAAGGGGTTCTCTCCAGGGGGACACCTTTGCGCAGGGCCGTATACTGGAGACTTCCCAGGGGAGAGAGGGTGAACTCCCCAGGGGCCAGAGGAACTAATCCTCAGGTAAGCCATAAAGAAATTCTAATAGTCTGAAAAGACCGACATGTCCTAGGGATAGGACAGGAAAAAAAGACTGGGGAAGGAGGGGTAGGAGGTGGTACTTATACAGCTTAATAATTATTCCTGTCCAATGGGGATAGGGAGGAGCTACCCAATGTTGTGCTGCCATGGATATGGCCAGGAAATATAAACACACACACACACACACCCCTAGACCCCAGGGAAGCTACCCTCCTTCACCCAAATGGTAGGAAACAGGAAGGTGGCTTTAAATGTGTCCCTTTTGCCTGTATGTGTGTGTCTGCTGTGTATCTGTTAGTGTGTATTTGATTTTTTTTATTTTTTCCATAGGGAAGTCTTAAAATCAGGCCTTTATTTTTTTCTTTAACAAAATCCAAAGTTTGGGGAGGTTGTCTTAGAATTGAGCAAATAAGGTGCATTTAAACTTTTATGAAGTGGATGTTTGTATTGGCATTGCCTGGAGATCAGTTTCTATTAAAGGCCCATAAAGCACTTCAGCTGGGTTTTTATTTCTCATTTTACAAAAAGTGCATTTTTTTTCAGTATAGCTAAACTCATAAGGCAAGCAATTACTGAATACCTGCCTTGCAAAGACTTTTCAAAGAGCTGCAGTGGGACGTTTGTAAAATTGGACAGCCAGAGTCTAAAAATACACAAATGCATGCATGTTTTCATTGGAAGTATATCTACTAAACAGATTTTGACTCCTACTTACTCACCCCAACTCTATAAGGATGGGTCTCTTATTACAATTTATCTGCATTAATCTTTGTGCTAGTACGTTTTTAATAGGTCTAGAACACCCTGTGACTGACTGCTCCTTTTAACTCCTTTCAAGTTGCATTATTTATAACAAATACCTTTTTGTGTTGCTCTGTATGTATTGCGCTGCAGCATATGATGTTACTTTACAAATGCCAGTAATAACAATGAAGCCCAACATATTGTGCAGCACAGTACAGTGGGTGAACAAGATATTCAAATATTTGGAAGACAAGTTTGAATTGTAAGAACAAGAGCTGGTGAGAGACTCTCGCAGCTTTATTGCGATATACCCACATAAAGGTACATTTATTTGGATTATGCAATGTTTAATTTACTGCTCTGATTTATAATTTATTTTTTCATCTAGAACTATTGTTTGTTTTTCCCCCACTAGATTATGCAGCATTGGATTTTATGCTGGATCAGATTAGTTTCTGTCTTGACCACCTCGAAGAGAAAAATGACCACTTACATGCGCAACTACAGGATTTGCTGGAATCAAATCGTGAGGCTCGGCGTGACTTTCAGCAGCAGTTAAACCAGAATGGAGCCAACAGTGCGCAGGAAGCAGGGATGTAATGGTTACCAAAAGCACAGCAACAACAACAACATAGGAAAATATCTTCCCAAAATGTTTCTATATAGCAGTTAATTGGAATTGTCCTTCCTAATGTTTTTACAATGATTAGAAAAAAAAAGACACCGCTACATATTTATCAAGAAAACCGGCTTTATTTATTTATTTTCCACGTGGGACCAATGTTAAGGACTACTACAAGGATTTCCATCACAATAAACCCAAGATTTGTATTTTATTAATATTTGTCTTTCTTGTACGTGAATGTCAATCTTACCCAAATATCTGACACGTTACTGTACCTCTGAATACTTTTTTTTTTTTTTGCTCTGATCAATTGTGGGCCGACAAGCCCTATGGTGGCTGAGCTTTGCAAAGTATCATGGGAGTTGGAGGTCTAGAACCATTTGATAGAGCTACTGGTTGGACGACCCCACTATCTACTATACTTGTTTGATATAATTCTGTTATACAACCCAATTACACTAAAATAAAAAAGTCAACAAGTGATCTTCCCTGAAGCTACATTATATTTTCCAGACAAACTGTTGTATTTACTTAACATTTTCTTTTTTCCCCACCTGAAGTTCCTAGGTAACACAAATTTTACAAAAACTAAAATAATGCAAGAAATATTTGTAAAAAACTTTGTAATTTGATAGCAAGTTAATGTCCTAACTGGGTTTGCCAAATTAAAGGGACATTATAGGCCCCCAGACTACTTCAGCTCATTGAAGTGGTCTGGGTGCAGTGTCACAGTCCTCCTTGGTCGTGCAATGTAAAACATTGCCGTTTTTGAGAAACTGCAATGATTGCTTTGCAGAACTGACTGCCTCTAGTGACAGTCTATCAGACAGCATCTAGGGGCGCTTTCGGGAATCTAATGGAGTCTGACTCCGTTCAACGATGCTGGACATCCTCACCCACTGCATGAGGACATCCAGCATCCGTGCAAACCTCTAGGAAAGCATTGAGGCAATGCTTTCCATGGGGATGTCCTAATGCGCACTCCGCGCATGCCCATTAACTCCCCCCAGTCTGTGGAGGCGGAGCGCGACCCAGTGCCGAGGGATATTGGCACTGGTGTCGCGAGTAAATAAAGTTTTTTGTTTGTTTGTTTTTTTTTTTTAGTAATCCCTTTATGTGCTACTGTTGGCGAGTGGGGGCAGAGGGCACTATAGTGTTAGGAACACATTTGTATTCTTAACACCATATAGAATCCCTTTAAATATAGTTGACTATTTTAAAGGAGGGTTTTTACATCTGTTTTTACTTATGGAAACTGAAGTGGTTCCCAACTTGTGGGTTGCTCTCTTATAACTCCTCACTGAAACGAGTTAATGAGGGCCTAGTTCAAATGAGCCTATAATCTATATCAGTGGTCCTTATTTTATACTTTATTATTACAGCCTTAAAAGGAGCAATGTTATCACCACTACTGTTCACTATAGTGGGGCTGTTACTTAGAGTGCCCTGGTGCCATCCTAAAGTAAGCTGTCAAGTCCATTACATACACTGATCTGCTGAAGTAGAACTTCCTATCTCCACATTGGCAATCTCAAATGTAATTTATTTTTTAGCTTCTTTAGACACACACTTGCCGACACTCAGCCATTGAAACATTACATAATTTACAAATGGAATGATATAAACAGGGCTTTTCCTTTTTCCCAGTGACCACCCCATCTCAGCCACATTAATAATGTGAAATTTACACTTTAACGTCATTTCATTCATCCTGAACGATTGGCTGAGATTCCTGGGGTATTTGAGCTGATGCTAGACAGGCCATTCCTAACAGACTGATATTAAACTGGGGGATTTGGCCCAATCACTCGAGCTAATATAACTATTAAAGCAAGTAAACAATGGCTAAGGAACTGACATTCCCTGAAATAGCCTTGATTCTGTAAATGGCATTTTCACCCATACTCCAAATGAGGATGAATGTAGAAAAACCTTTGTTATAAATGGACTTCTATACTACAGGATCATTGGAATAGTTTAGATCCGGTTTATGTACATTCCACCTGTGTGAGCACCATGGGAAATGTAGTGCAAAGAGCTGCAAAGGCTCTCAAACACTCCATCTTGAGCAAGATACCTGTCCTATAAACTTCAACACAACCACAGTGTTTTTTGGGTAGCGAAGTTTATGGCTGAATGTTAGCAGTTATGTGTTTTCAAAGCTTCTAAAAGTTTGGTTTTACTGGCTCTATGGGAACAAATACTTTCAATGTATCCATACCCTCTTCTTGAGTCACATGACTAAATTCCAAAATTAAATTGCCCCTAAAAAACTAAATGCTACTGGGTAAAACATCTGAAGGATATGTACAGGGAGATGTGGCCCATTCTAAATAAACAATGCAGCTCCACTTTCCATTCCTAATGTGTTCTATATTCAGTAAACTAAAGAAAGTTATATCTTTGCTAGTTGTCAAAATAGTAAATTATATTGAAATTTTCACTGCAATTTATTTTGCATATAGGACTGTATGTTCCTATTATGCATAAGTAGCGCTCTTAACTCCTTAAGGACCACTATTGGTCTATGCCCTCATTACAATCTGTTCTTTAAGGATCCTATTCAAAAATGAAATTAACGACTCTAACACCAGGGAGCCACTATACTGGCATAAATTAAGGTTCAAATAAAGATGATGGGAACGTTTTACATTCTGACGCGATTAAATGCATGTATAATCTAAAACAGGGGTGTCCAAAAGGTAGATCTCCATTTGTTTCTAAAACTACAGCTTCCATGGTGCCTTGCCATTCTAAGGCATGCAAAATATCATGGGAGTTGTAGTTCAACATCTTTTGGGCACCCCTGATCTAAAATATGCATACATTCTCCACCTTATTTTCAAATTTGTTGTGCTCAACTATGATACGCATGCTTTTCTAGGACTGGAAAATCAATGCAGGGTAGCCCTAATATAACTGGTAAAAAGATCAAACTATCCTTTTATGTTGGGAATAAATAAGGATACAGTGTCTTCACCTCTGTCATCTATCTAACTACACTACTGTCTCAAATTCTCTCTCCTACTTTTTATTTTAAAGAACCAACTTTCAATTCATGAGATGATGTTTGAAGAATATGCAGTAAATGGTACAGGGATCACTGATGTCTATGCCGAGAGGAGCGCCTGTTGGAAAGAGAGGCAGAGTCATTTTGGGTTGTAGAATTTTCCTCTTGCAACATCGATATTCCAGCAGCACTGTCGCTCTCCAAATTCTTTCCCAACAACAGAGTTTCTGACTCAAGCAGATATCCTGCATCTTCCTCACTTGTAGCCACCAAGAGATCAATTGCTGCTTTTGACCCTCCACTAGCAATAGAATTGTTCTCACTTTCCCCCATCAGGGCCAGGTTTCCATCTCCCTGACCTGCCTGGCTTTCTGTCTGTAGAGTGCCACATCCCTGCTCTGGCTCTCCTTGCAGAGCTGCAGGACCAGCATCTGACTGATCAAGCAGTGTGCACGGTTTGTCTCCACTGATGGGTAAAGCGCCTTCATCCCCCTGAATCTCTGCTATTTTGGTGTAAGGTCCAGATTCCACCTGTGGGTCGGTATGGCTCTTCGATGCTTTGTATTTCTGTAAGTAGAAACAGTAATAGAGCAGTGAATAGAAACAAGCACAACCCTTAGCACTCAACTCAGCTTTAGCCCACCACCGTATGTGGAACTGCAAACCCTACAAAGCTTTGCCAGCACAGGCCACCTCATCAGGTTGCCATAATGTATGGGGGCTCCCTAGTCTGTTTTTTTTAGGAGATCAACACTTTTCTTGTGTGTGCGTTCCTGCCGCAATTGTGCTGCACTGTGTCCCTCTGTTACAGCACTAAGAGGGTTAGTTTTAGAAAATAGTGCAATTTGTCTCACAAAAACAGGGGAAATATTCACTAAAGTAACTAGGCGAAAAATTGCCAAACTAGAAAATGATCCAAGCCAGCTATTTTCTGCTCAGCTATTTAACCCCTTAAGGACACATGACGTGTGACACTTAAGGGGTTAAACGTAAAATTTCAGACACACACGATTCACACTTTAGTGAATAACTCTGATAGGTTTCGAAAGACTCTGGAGTATATTAACTACGCCAGAAAGTGGAAACTGAATTGCAAATTTTAGGGCAAAAATTTCTGATTAAGAAATATTTATATACAAGTCCTGTGTTGGTATGTGTGTATTATAATTAACACCACTTAACACCCCAGCGCGTTCCTCAAAAGCATTTACTGGGGTAAGGAGTGGTTACGACTTAAAGTGATGCCAAGTTCTGTGAAGCCCCTTTGGATGAGTTTGACACATTATATTTACCAGACCACTGCCTACCATAAAGTGTTTATGCTACACCACCTCTTAACCACTACAAGAGATGCAGAACAGATGTTTGTATCAACACTTTACACAAGGTAAGGAAGGTTTTAATTATAGGACACTCTTTTAATGTCTCCATACCTATTATACCTGCAATTATAATGTCTGTGTACCTAATGCACCTCTTGTGTGCAGCACCATAAGCACTACAGCTTAAAGCAGTGATTATCCTGCTTTGGAGGCTGGCCCATAGAGGCGGGTTGGGGCAGCACCACCTCACACCAATTTTGTTGCAAAAATAAAATAAAAAGAGGGTGGTGGGTGGGGGGAAGCATTCTCAGCCACTTCCACATTTATGCAATATTATAAGGGAATAATCTGTACATAGAAGAAAGTAAATATACACTTTTATTCATAGATATATTTGTGTGCATTTATTTATTTTTCCAGTGTATTAAACTGAACATGTGTGCTATTTTTCAACCTGTAAAGTCCCTTTAAGAATCAATGATGGAGGAAATAAATGTGAACAGGCTCAAAGCGGTAACAAACTGTCTAGAAGCCGGACCTCACTGTGACATTCTAGAGCTATGGCAAGTCATGAGTTTTAGCTAAGGATGCAGGAGTCAGACAATGGAACGATAAGAGTTAATGGAAACATGATCAATGAATGTAGAATGAGAGTCACGCAAAAGAAAAACACAAGAAACAACAAAAGGATGTAGGAGGAGACAAGAAAGACAAAGCAAAGACCATGCTAACGCAGAAGGGTCTAACCTGGACGTTCTGATAATGTGTCAGGGACTTGCAGTGTAACAGCCGGGCCGCAGAGTCACTAGGGTAGAATTTGTGACACAGCCTGCAGAGATAACCCGCCACAGGGACGATAAAATCCAGGCCTGTGAAACAGCAGGGAGGGTCACAGAGGATGACCATCAGAAGGGAAACAAAAACCACACCAAAGAGTGAATGTTAAAAAGCTATGGGGAATGGAGAGGCCACAAAGAGAGCGAGATGGTGTTTAGGGTAATACATAGTGAGGGAAACCACTAGACATCTATTATTTAGACATTTATGGACCTAGCAGAGGGAAGAGGAATGTTCCAAACAGAAGAATAATAATGAAGTAGGGTGAGAGATTGGTATAAAGATGTTGGCATACAGCAATTTGGCACCATAAATGCTATCTCATACGCTGAACCCTTGATAAGGAAGAGATAGTGTCTGTGAAGACCCTGATTCAGAGACGCCATACTCACCATATGCAGTGTCTGCACTGTACTCATCCCATTCTTCATGTTCTGCAAAACCAGTTGTTGCATCTTCAGTCTGCAAAGAGATGGGTAAATGAATTGACCTCAGACTATATAACAAGTTCTGACCATTTATGTGGAATAGAGGCAGGTGGATCTAGCAGAGCCTGAGGCAAAAGTCATTAGAGAGTGAGTACTATGCTAAAATTGATGGTTTGCAGTTTTCCATCAATCCACTGCTGGATGATGGGATTGCTATAACAGCCAAACGGTCAGTAGATGACAAGGGCAAAGAGAAATCTGCAGTAATTAATTTTTTATTCTTATCAAAGTCTACCTGAAAAAGTTCCATAACAATTTCACATGAAGCCAAGCAGCATAGCCCGCCAGGCACCAGATAATGAAATCTGCCAGCGCTGATTGACCTACCAGAAGACATTCTGTATCTGCAGAAGAGTCATCCTCGCTTATTCCCTCTTCTTCCTCCTCGTCGTCATCATCCTCGTCCTCAAAACATCCAACAGCATCCACTGTAATGAGTTCCTCTGACTCCTCTAAAGTCCAGGGTTCTTTCTCACGCAATCTTGCCTGGAGAGTAACATAGAAAAATGTCAATCAGCACATTAAGAAACATATCAGAGTTTAAAGGGACACTATAGTCACCTGAACAACTTTAGCTTAATGAAGCAGTTTTGGTGTATAGAACATGCAGCCTCACTGCTCAATCCTCTGCCATTTAGGAGTTAAATCCCTTTGTTTATGAACCCTAGTCACACCTCCCTGCATGTGATTTGCACATCCTTCCATAAACACTTCCTGTAAAGAGAGCCCTATTTAGGCTTTCTTTATTGCAAGTTCTGTTTAATTAAGATTTTCTTATCCCCTGCAATGTTAATAGCTTGCTAGACCCTGCAAGAGCCTCCTGTATGTGATTAAAGTTCAATTTAGAGATTGAGGTACAATTATTTAAGGTAAATTACATCTGTTTGAAAGTGAAACCAGTTTTTTTTTTCATGCAAGCTCTGTCAATCATAGCCAGGGGAGGTGTGGCTAGGGCTGCATAAACAGAAACAAAGTAATTTAACTCCTAAATGACAGTGAATTGAGCAATGAAATTGAAGGGGAATGATCTATACACTAAAACTGCATTATTTAGCTAACGTAATTTAGGTTACTATAGTGTTCCTTTAAGGACTGGTAACTTGTGATTCACGATTATTTGTCTCTGATCCTGAGATCATTAACGGCACACTGTACTGTGGTTATCTATGTCTTTCTAACCAGGTTATTAGTGTTAATATAATAAATTAATAGTAGTGCAACCCCCTCTACTTACCTTTTTCCCAGGGCTGTCAGCAATCCCATTGCGGCAGTCCGCTCCACCCATTTTTGTCAGCATGTCTTATGACTATGGTCCAATCCAACGATTCTCATAAGGCAGTATTGTGGATTGTAGGCAAATGAGCAGCATTTGCAGCCAATCAAATGCTCTTCCAAGGGATGCACTAAATGCAATTATTTTCTATGAGAAGCTAAGAACACAATACTGGGCAGGCATGTGCTCTTGAGCATCGACCTATTTAACAGATCAGCTCACTGCTCTGATCATAAATCCATCTATTTTAAAATCAGCTGCAATTCTGTGTGCCATCAGATGAGGTTTTACCTACTGGTTCGAGTGAATAAAGCAGACAACTAAATAGTTTGAGAATCACAATAGCTATGTTTGCTGATGTCGTGGCATGCTTATGAGAACGCTTACAGCATTTCTAAGAGACTCGTTCTTGAAAAGTTCAGACCAAAATCAAACGACTAGAAGCCGTGCTTTCAAGCCCTCATAGTATGAGAACAACACAAATTTGTGACAGTGGACAAAGGGGCACATCAACAACTTCAGAAAGATGACATTGTTATAATGTTTACCATGTTCCTTTAAGCAGTCTGTATGGATTTTATGAATGTGAAAACTGTGTTATTTTCATAACAAAAATAGTAATTTTTTTATTTTATTTTTACAAATTCTGACACTACCAAGTGATCGCAAAATGTCACAATTTAAGGGACAATATTTTTTTTTAAACACCTAAAAATCCAGCACCAACAACGATGGTTTCGTTCTCACATATGATTGGTTTCCAGGGACAGTGATCCCTTAGAATGTTGCCCTGGGATTGAGCTGCAGCTACATGGGTCAAAATTTGAACTGCCAGTTTCAGACACATGGATACATTTTCCTGCGATCCCATCAATACTAACCTTTGTAGGGGGTTATGAAGATTCCACAGTCGTTTACAGGGTTAAAAACAAGCTGACATGTAGCAGACATTACATACTGTTTAACACAACAAATGCAGCCACATACTGTACAGAATAATAGAGAGCCCTTTGCTTGTCGATTTACAATGTCGGAAGGGCTAGGGATAAAAACAGTAGGTAAGGGTTTGAATGAAAGGGAAAGCAAGACTAGACTCTTGTAGACAACACATGGTAGGAAGTGTTGGCTAAGGTGAGGGATGAAAGAAAGACTTGGTAATTTAAAGGGATACACTAAGTACCATAATCACTACATCACTTTGTGAAGGTTATGCTGCAAGGAGCCCCCTGGAACATTCCCACAGTAAGCTATCAAACCCTTTTCATGCATATTTCTGCATTAGCAATATCACATTTGTGCAACTTTGGACATTATTCACTAGCGAAGAGTGACAGCTGACTTTGGCTTTAGCATATCTATGCAGAGCAGAAAGCCAAAGGGCACCATACATAGCATGCTGCTGTGTTTATGGTGTTTCAAATGCCAGTTTAGGAGATCGGCATGGTAGATTAGTGCAGTTACATGGACCTTCCTAGTTTTGTAACAAACAGCTTTGATGCAGCAAGATAGATACATGTTATATATTTTAATAAGCCAGGTAAAATACACAAAGAAACACATTTTATATCTATAACATACCACCATAACTGTGATGGCATCTACTGTCAGTAGATTACAAAGTTATATAGTCTATTCCAAGCAACAGAGAGCAGATCAAGCATTGATACTAAAAAAAAAATATTTTACTTTATATTTTGCTCTGCTGGTTTGATTTTAAGTATATTCTTTTGTACCTTTTGTAATTCATGTTTCTAATCTTTTTCTTACCTCCTGGGTTTTCTCCTTGTGCTCTGGAGACTTCATGTGTTCTACGAATTTGCGAGGGGTCTTGAAATGACGGCTGCAAACTGTGCAAAATGGCCGCAGGGAACGCTTGGCCATCTGAGGGTAAAGAATAAACATTATATTCGCGACAAAGTAACCTGGGCAGTAATCCCCAAGTTCATTTATGGTACTCTATCAGGGATCAGTGTGTTCAGAGGTCTATCAATCATTTATTTTTTGTAATTTTATAAAATAAATAAATATATATCCCTTTGGGTGCTAGTCACAACTGTTTGATCTGTGATCAGTAATTTTATTTTTTGGTTTGGGTGAGTTCTTTTCTGTGGGTGGAAGTGGGAATTGGTGTGTGTGGTAGTGGGTATTAGGCAGGTAGGCAACTTAAATAAATTCCCTGAGATGGCACGCTATTAAACAGCGGAGGAGGCGTACGTCATTCTGGTAGTGGAGACACTGAATGACAGTCTTGCGGACAGTGACACTATGAAAGCCTCTGGCCTGGAGCCCCTAAGCGAGTCCTCTATGACAGCCTCTGACATTGCGCCCCTAAGCGAGTCCTCCAGTAATGGTGCCCCGCCACCATCTACAAGAATTTACTTAGGATGCCCCACAGTGCCAGAGGAAAGCTAGATACTTTACTACCCCAGAAATACCACCAGTCACAGCTACACCTGGCATCTCAACAATGGTACATGTTTGTGAGCCAGTGAACTATTTTAGGTTCTTTGTCGGATAACATATTTGAACTGATGGCTGAGCAAACCAACCTGTATGCCAGCCAGTATCTGACTGCAAACCTGGGGTCACACTACAGAAGTAAAACATGTGCACCCTACTGATGTCACAAAAAACCTTGGGGCACTTGGGAAAAAAACAAGTATCAGGTCCTCATGAGTAATTCTCATTTTTGGGCTGCCATATTATCTCAAAGGCAACATAGACCCAGGCAAACCAATCTGACAAATTTCATGTGTACAAATTGAAAGGTGCAAGCTCTATATTTGATCCTGGTGTACTCATGAAACATCACTGAACACAAATATGACCTAGTGTTTCAAAGCTGTAAAATGTATAATGATGATATCATCATTGGTGAAAGAGCACCCTGGCCAAAACACTAACTTTGGCTAGGGTGGCTACTAAAAAAGACTGGACATAACCCATTTTGAATACCCTGGGTTGTCTACGTTTGCAAATGGTATGTCACGATGGGGTTTATAAGAACTGCAGCTTTTGCAAATTGTTTTAAGATATAACCCCAATGAATACATGCATTTATTAATTTGGGATGTATCTACTAAAAAGTGATTTATATTTTTTCCATTATGAGCAGTGTAGTGTTTCTTTAACTTCTCACCCTTTTTTTTCACTAGATTTTTATCTTATTAAATTATGTTTCATATAAAAATATTTGATGTAAAATGAAAGCTCCATTTCTCCTGGACAAAATCACATAAAAGCGTGGGTGCACTTAGTATGAAAGAGGTAAATTATAG